AAAAAAAAAAAAAAAAAAAAAAGCACAGGGTCATACCAGAGGTAGATTGTACCTTACCCAAACTGCAAACAACCTGAGTCATATTTAAAAATCTACCAGAAAGAAAACTCACAGGAACAGATGGCTTCACTGCAGTTATTCTAAATATTAAAAAAAGATATAATACCAAACTTTTATAAACTTTTCCAGAGATAGGAAGATAGGAATTTTCCTGTTCACTTTATGAGGCCAGTACAACTTTGATACCAAAACCTTTAAGACATTTCAGGAAAGTAAAGTTATAGACCACTATCTTATGAATTTAGATACAAAATCCTAAAATTAAAAAAGTTCCAGCCATATCAAAGGACAATATATCTTGACTAAATGATGTTTACTAGAGGAATCAAAGGATAGATTTAGTATTTCAAATTCAATCCATTTGGCCTTCTACTCCTCTCTCTCATTCTTTCTCCCTTCGCACTTTGTAAATTTCTCTTCTGCCTTCCCTTCCTAGAGTTGAAGAGGCAGAATAGGCTTGCCGTGAGGGATGAGAAAGGTGTTGTGGTGATGTGCCAACCTGCATCAAGAGTGCTGGGGGCAAATGGAAGAGATGGTTAGCATGGCTGAGATACTGGTAACATTGAGCAGATAAGTAAATGTATTGAAGATGATGAGAGCCAGGTTCCTCACTGTTAGAAAAGGTATCTATAAAAATGGAAAGGGGGGAAGTTAGAAAACCACCTGGAGTGTTGGACTGCAATGATACTCATTTTAACTACACAGAAATAATTATAGTAGTCGTGTGTGTGTTTGTGTGTATTTTATGGACCTGTCTACTGACAGCTCAGTAGCACTGAGCACACCAATTACCAGGTTATTAATTACTAAATACTATCCTCCCACCAAAAATGGAGCAGGTCTCTGGAGTGATAGCTTATTCCAAGTCAGAGATGGGGAGAAATATCTATCAGACAATAAGAAAATGTTCTAAGAATTATGGAAACATGTCAAAAGAGCCACCTTGGACAGGTTCCAGTGGCCAAATTTGAGACAGTTTGAACATCAAAACAAATAACAATAGCATCATAATATAAATGACTTAAAAATATGAGTCCAATAATTTGTACACATATAAGTGAATAAATACATAGAGGAGAGAAAGCTTTCTTTATAAGCCAGCTAATAAATGTAGGAGGAATAATGGCAATAGAAAAAACACTACTTGGCAACCATCATACTGGTGGTTGATTCAGTAAGTACGTGCCAACATAGGCTAGAGTTTGTGGGTAGAAGTTTAATGAAGAACAGGTATTGGCATTATCTCCAAATATTTCGCCACAAAATACTAATCAACTACAAAGGTGAAAATGGTGATTTTTATGATAAACCTGGCAGACACCAACATAATCAAGTGATCAAAGTTCACTTCACCAATGGTAGGACAGGTCAACGTAATGTACTCCCTGGTGAGATGCTCTGAGAAGAGCCAACACATTGGTGCTGTATTCTTACCAAGAAAGCATAGCCAGAGTATGCTAATGCGGAAATATCAGATGAACCCCCTTGAAAGGTTATACTATAGAATTTTAAAGCCTGTATTTAAATTGTCAAGGACATAAAAGGAAAAGACTGGGAGACTGTTTCAGGTTGGACTAGACTGAAGATGTTTTAAAATAAAAACAAAAAGGAAAAATAGAATAGTTGGGACAAATAAAGAGTGTGTAAATTCGATGGTAGTGTTTATTTCCAGACTTGGGTCCATAGGTAAGTAAATGTTTTGTTTCAGGAAAACACACACTCAAGTACATAGGGGAAACGAAGTCTCGTGTCTGCAGGTTATTTTCAAATGCTTTAGTAAAAGAATAATGTGTGTGTGTGTGTGTGTGTGTGTGTGTGTGTGTGTGTGTAGAGACAGAGTTCAAGTATGTGCTCAAGGGACAGATGGAGGAAATGCAGTGCACAGGGGGAAATCGGAATGAGTTTTTTCTACTAGTGACTTTAGTAAGTTTGAAATCATATCCAAACAATACTTAAAAGTTTGTTAATTGATGTAGCCTACCACATTAGAAAAAAATAAGTTAAACCATATTACTATCTCAGTAGATGTGGAAAACATTTGATAGAACTTTACACACATTCATGATTAAAAAACTACACTAGGAATAGAAGGAAACTTCCTTAAAAACAAGTAAAAAGCTAATATACCACAAACATCAAACTAAGTAGATGAATACTGGAATATTTCTTCCTGATATTCATAATGGGACAAGGACCTCCCTGGTGGTGCAGTGGTTAAGAATCAGCCTGCCAGTGCAGGGGACACGGGTTCGAACCCTGGTCCAGGAAGATTCCCACATGCCACTGAGCAACTAAGCCTGCGTGCCACAACTACTGAAGCCCGCGTGCCTAGAGCCCATGCTCCACAAGAGAAGCCACCGCAATGAGAAGCCCGCACATCACAACAAAGAGTAGCCCCCACTTGCCACAACTAGAGAAAGCCCGCATGCAGCAATGAAGACCCAATGCAGCCAAAAACAAATAAATTTTAAAAAATAATAATGAGACAAGAATGCTTCTTACTGCCACCACTACTATCTAACAGTGGACTGAAGGTTTTAGCTAGGTCAGGTCAGTAAGGCCAAATAAAAATAAAAATAAGACCTAAAAACTGGGAAGATTGAAGTAAATCTCATTATTTGCACGTAATACCATTGTTTACATTTAAAAGTCTATGGAAAAATTATTAGAAATATGTGAATTTAGCAAACTGGCTATATAAAAATTATATTTTTATGTATAAACAACCAATAGAAAAATTAAATGATGCCAGGAGAATTGCATCCTTCCTGGATAGGGTGGCAAAGAACAGATTTATTCTCCTGCCTGGCATAATTGGGGAAAGGGGGAACAGAAAAATAAAGGAAATAATTATGTTCAAGTCACTGGACATACAACAGCCCTAAAACAGTTCCAGAAATCCAAAAAGTGCATCACAAAATTAAGAGAAGTTCAAAGACAAAAATAAAAGTGTGTTAAGAATGACTTGTGGGGAGAAGA